ATATCAAATTGATTATATATATAAGCATTGTGCGTAAGTATGTAAAAATTATTTACACAGAATATGATATATAATATATATATATATATATTATATAATATACAGTAGTTGTTGACAACTCTTTATACATATAAAGAGTTGTTCAAATCCTATTTTATCGATATACGAATTGATGTTAGCACGAAACTCATAAGAAGAAAATGGAGGGAGGGAAAGAGGGAGATGGAGCTTTCCATTGTATGCTTGGTGTGGCTTGTTGGAGTCGTGCAGATACCTGCAATACTTCAACAAATAAATTGACAATGTTTGTTCTCTGCTATGTTCTTTTGCAACTTGATCCTACAAACAAAACTTGAAAAACGATGCCATTCAATGAAATCTAAATCATTCCCGCCCCTGAATCTTTTACAAAACAAAGCCCCATGAAAAATTTCAATAGTAAATGTTTTCCCATATAAAAAAAGAAACAATGAAATAAACGTTTTACTTCGAAATTTCAATATAATCTTAGGTCAGACATTAACACCTTACTTTGAAATTTCTCCCCCAAAATGTGACAACAGTGTTCGAAGACAATCGTTGTAGAGTAAACATTAGGTGGACTACTCTTTGACCATGTCATTAGACACATTACAAAAAGCTTCCTTTCCATGAGCTTTGCATGTAACTTACAAATTCCCAAGTACATGTGTCACTTGTATGTCCTCAACTTTCATTGCTTAATAAAGTTTACGACTGAAACATTAACCCAATCCGGAAAAAAACAAAAACAAAAACGCGACTCTCTCTCTCTCTCTCTCTCTCTCTCTCTCTCTCTCTCTCTCAATCAAGTGTGCCACCTTCTCATATGCTTTCTTGTAAGATTAATTGAAGAAGAATACTTCAGTTTTTGAACAAAATTAACTTCAAGATGAGTAATTTAACAGAAATGAAGCAAAAAGAAACCCAAAAATCTTTAATTGAACAACAAAACTTGGTCTTTGAACAAATAACTTCCGGATGAGTTTAACAGAGGAGAAGCAAAAAAAAAAACCCAGAAATTTGAAAAATTTGTCTTTCAGAACTGGAATTACCTTGAACGAATCTCACTTCCGCTGCGAGAGAGATGGAATAACAGGTTGAGAGGAGAGACCTTTTTTCTTTTCGGTCAACTTGATGAGGTTGTCATAGTGTTTTCATCAAGAGAGGTGGAATTAAGAATTCGGGAGTGCTGTCCAAAGGAGATAACGACAGCTCAAGAACCGAACGCTATGTAACTCATACGTGTCAATTGGGATATACTAGTAATTTTACTGTGTCGGATGAAAATTTGAAAGAGTAAAATTCACTTCCATCCTAATCTCTAATCTCTTTTTCTTTCTTTTGTGTTCTATTTAACGGTTACGATTAAATTACGTGAACATTTTTATTTAATTTTTTTATATAGAAAAAAAAACAAAAAAAAAATGTGTAAGAGAAGTGAAGAGAAGATGATGGTAATATGAGAAGACAGAATCTATTACAGGAACACTAAAATAGGTGCAAAACAGTCATTTCACTGTTGGTGAACAGTGATTTTAAACCCAGTTTCAGTATAGGGATAATTTAAGGGTCCATGTGGATTCAGTGCTCAAAACATAATGATTTGAATTTTTACTATATTATTGAGTTAATTGAGAAAACATATAAAACTAGTAGTGAGCTCATCGAAATGTTTTAATTCTTATTCTCTATAGATACAGCTTGTCCTGTTTTAGTAAATGCGTGAAACTGAAGAATTGAAATGATTCTTGTTCCAATTATGTATAAATAAGTATGTCATATTATATAAAATCATAAAAATATTAGATTAAGGTTTGAAATTTCCTCATTTCAAATGGACCTCAATGTATGACTTCCCTTGTCCCCATAAGGCCTCTTTAGATTTTTGTGTCCGGAATAACCAGATCCGGGAGTTTGGGCCATTTAAAAGGAGAAAAACTTGTGTGAGGCTTGGCATGCTACTAAACTTTGTTGAGTGGCACTACAGTCCACTCAAAAATCACCACATGACAAGTCTTAAATATAATTTTTTTTCTCATCCTTTTATATTTAAAATTCTCATAATTATTTTTTTCACTAATTAATATGCACCAATTTAATGGCTTATATTTTGTTCGGTCCCCCCCCCCCTTCCTTCCTCCTCTTCCTTTTTTTCCCAAATATTCACTCCAGTTTATGTTGCAGGGCATGCCTGCCTTCTTTAACTTCCCAAACAATCTCATTGTGTAATATTATTTGATTTATCTCTTCGAATATGCTTTTTATGAAGACTCAACCCTTTTCTCATAACATAAGCATTGCGTACTTGAAAGGCTTCAATGTCATAATTCACCACCATTCTAATTTTTACATCTTCTTAAAACTCCATTGTCTCAGCAGCAACCTACCAATTGAAAAAAAAAAAAAATGACTACCATATTAATAAAATACTCATAGTAAAGAATAGAAAAAACTATTGTATAAATATGTGGGTAATTCGTATTAACATATTAACCATAACATTGATTAACATTTGAGGCCAAATATTAGATTAACATGTTAACGAAAACAAATAAAAAATTAGGCTAACCCTAATACACCTATATATATGGGTTATTCATGTCAAGTTCACATGATAAAATCAAGTATTATATAAATAACAAAAAAACTTAAAGGTTCTTGATTGATCTCCACGACAAAAGTTGGAGAAAGTGATTTTGTTTAGGGTACAAAATTTTTTCTGAAGAACTGTGAGAGAAAAAAGTCGGATAGACAAAGAAGTGGGAGAGAGAGGAAAGTGAAAGAATCCTGAAACATAAATTGGAGGGAATATTTGGGATGGATAGCCTTATCTTGCCACCAATTGTCTTTTTTTTTTTAAAAAAAAAAAAAATATCCATTGGATTGATGTATGTTAATTAGTGAGAAATATAATTATGAGAATCCTAAATATAAAAGAAAGGGAAAAAAAATTACATTTAAGACTTGTCACGTGGCGATTTTTTAGTGGATTGTAATGCCACTCAGCAAAGTCCAATGGTAAGCCAAGGCCCACACAAGTTTTTCTCGTTCAAGAGAGAGAGTTTCAGACTATTAAAAGACTTCTTTTCCGTGAGTTAGGCTAGTGGGATGGGCTAATAAGGATCGCGTGATATAAAATGAGTGGTATGAATTTTTGAATTTGACTGCTTTGGGCACAGAGATCTAAGATGATCTTAGCTCTCATAATTGAGAGTTTTAGGCTTTTAACCTTAGATTGTGGAAAATATATAGAATATGTTAAACCATTTAGAACTTGTGAAAAAAATCAATCATAATTTTATTTTATTAACTGGAGAACCAGAATTTAAATTTGAGACTTTGTTGGACAAAAATGTTCATAGATTAATGGTATGCTTACTAAAGTGGAATGGGAGTGGAAAAAAGGGGAATTGAATTCTTTCTCAATTGATTTTGTGATTTAATAGTTTAATAATTTTTTAGGAATGAAAATATTGGTGGAGTCCACTCAAAATCAATAATCATACTCATGAAAAATCATGAATTCCAATACTGAGGGGGCATGAGATTTTGACTCCAAGAAAAAGTTGCAAGATGGAGAGAGATAAAGTATTCGAATTGTATGAGATTTACTAGAGAGTTCTGAAATTTACCCAAAAACTTTTATTTTTGCCTATTACTTTAGTCTAAAGAAGGCTTTTCAATTGCACTATACAAATGAATAGTTTTTGGATCCCAATTTCACACTATTTACGAACATGCCATTGCTCTAAGGATTTTGCCTTTTTTTTTTTTTTTTTTTTTTCAGGGTTAGTTGTATGGGCTTTTGCGGGTTTGGGATGTCACTGGGTTCGTGGTTTTTGTTTGTGGTTGGGTTTTTCGGATGGATGGCCGACACGGGCAGGCCTAGCCTGCAACGATGCCAGCGAGAAAAGAGGAAGGGGTGTCGTGTGATGCGAGAGAGAAGAGAGAGAGGAGGAGTCGTCTGATGGCAGAGAGAAGAGAGAGGGGTCGTGCGATGCCAGAGAGAAGAGAGAGGAGGACTCCCGGAAGGAAAAATTTGAGGAGAGAGGAAGGGGTAGGATGAGCAAAGCAATAGGTAGGCCTGCCCGGAATTTGGGTTTTGTTTTTTCTTGGTGAGATCTGCTTAGAGAAGCGGTGAGGCATGAAGGGACGCCTAAACCGAGGGTTGGTTTCAGAGATTTGGTTCCAGCTGGAAGCTATCTCTGCAAGCATTGATGAGGATTTCTCCCAGCTTGCAGCTTCAATTCCTTTCAAAGCTAAGTGTCCCTTTTGAACTGAATTTTCCCTTATTTCACTGTTTCTAGTTTGAACCTGCTTAGAAACCTGTTTTTTTCCTGCTTTGTTTTTTGTCTGGTTTTGGTTCGGTTATTCAACTTTTAGTTGGGTGTGCAAGATTTGTTTTTAAATTATTAAATTGGGACAGAAAAACAGATATTTTGTGCTGCTTTCTTCACTGTCTGATAATACCACTTCCTCTTCATTTCTCTTTTTCTTCCTGTTGTGTTGGTCTTTCAGTGTTATAGCTTCTATGCAGAAATCAAACTGTATGCAATTTGGCTCTTTTTGTTCATTACCCTATTATTTGTTGTTGTGCTGACCCTATGAATCAAATAGTCAGTTTTTTTATCCCTCTAAAATACATTATGCATCTGGTTTTTGTTCATTCACATATGATGCACTGTGAATCATTTCCTGACAAATATGTTGAGATATGTTATTTTTGGTAGCAAATTATGGTTGCTGTTGTTAGAAATAGATTTAATTTTTCTCTTTGGTTTGATTATAGCTTATGTCTTTTAACAAGCATGCTTTTAAAGTTGCTGTCAAGTGTTTCTCATCGTAAACATGATCAGCAACTTTGGCTTTCTTTGCGTTTTGCATGATAAAAACAACAAATATATTGATCTTCAAAACAAGGGTTTAGGGTTGACTGTCATTCGATGTATAGAATTTCACAACTTTTATTTGTTTTTTTTTTATATTTCAATCCTCTTTTAGAATACTAATCCAAATTTATTAACCAGGTGATTTTTCACTCAATCCCGAAGTTCGTATTTCTCGGATTGGTGTTGTGTGCAGATTACTGGTGGTCAGCTTGCTAAAGCATTGTATTTAGGTGAAGGTATTTGACCTCCTGATTAGTATTCACATTTAACTTTTTGTCATATATTTTCAGCAGATATTGTAGTTAAATCAATTCGTCCCTGATGTGTTTGAACTTAGGTGAAATTTTTAAATTCAAGTTTGAAAATCTTCTTTTTGGTGAAGCTATTTGTACAAGTAATGAGACTGGGAATGGCAACAGGCAAGGTAGGCCGGGTAATCGCACCCTGCCTCAGCTAGGGTTGGGCAAACGGGTCTTGGGCCCGCGGGTAGGGGCGGGTATAGGCGGGTCAGGGCGGGTACGGGGCGGGTCCTGTTTTTAAATAGGGGAAACGGGGCGGGGCGGGCCTAGGTAATGGCATTCTAGGGTCGGGCCGGTTTCAGATTTATAGAAAAACGGGGCCCCGAAACGGCCCGTTTGTAATTGAAATGGACGGCCCAAATTGAAAATAAACATACCTTCCAATCATGACCGTTGGTTTTAGGTTTTACCCTAATAGAGTCTTTGCTCTCTCTCGATCGACCTCGACCTTTCCGTCTCTCATCCTCGATTTTCTTCTTGAAGTCCGACATCACCTCACCGTCTCTGAAGTCCGACATCACCTCTCCGTCTCTGAAGTCCGACCTCATCTCGACCTCGACCTCTCCGTCTTTACTCTCTCTCGACCTCGACCTCGATCTTCTTCTTGATTGTTCTCCTCGACATCTCATCCTAGACCTAGGCACCCGCACAACCCATCTTCCCGATTCTTGTTCACTCTTTCCCGACGACATCACCGCCGTCGCGATCATGAGGTTTGGTTTTTAGTTTATACGCACTTTGCTTTTTGTTCAGTTTCCCATACCAAATTTGCATCTCTATCGTTTTGCAAGTTGTGCGTTTTGCTTTTCTTCTTCCATTCTCGCATTCGGTCGTCCCCTTTCAAGTCTCACTTTGTGTCCTTTTCAGCTCTTCGTTTATTCACTCAACACCGAATCAGTGTAAGGGTTTTCAACTTTTGATTTTTCTTTTGTTTTAAACTGAAAAGTTTGATTTTGATAGATTCGAAAGTATACAAAAGTTGAATCTTTATTTGGGTGAATTTTTAAACCCAGTTTCGCTTATGGATTTTCATGGGTGGTTAAATTGAATTTGGAGGTTTTTATGTGGTCTCAGATGGAAACAGTTATAGTCTTATAGAAGAGATGCAGGATATGAACAGGGTGGAATGTTTTCTATTATTATTATTTTTTTTAAATCAATTTGGGGTTTTGTTTGGTTTTGCTAATTTTGTGTTGTTGAACCCAGCGATTTGTCTACATATTGAATAAGAGACAATGAAACTGATATGTTGTTTTTTTTTTGTTTAAAATTGAAGAGCCTTTGCCTTCCATCTGTTTTCTCTTTCTGGAATTTCCTTTCTCAGCGTTTTTCAGGCTTATGGTATATACTTTGTTTTTTTATTTTATTTTTTTGGTTCATGATTGGTTTTGCAGGTTTTGTTTGTATAGAGGAGACGGTAACTTGGCTGGTGCATCGTCTGTTTTCAGTCGAGGGTGAGGTTTAGTTTGTTACGTGGGAGCATCTTTATCTGTTCATTTGTCATGTTTTAATTGGATTAAATTTTAGGTTGTCCAAATTATAAGCTATGTTGTATTCTCATATATCAGTTTGGTTGGCTCTTATGTTTATAATGGTTCTGATATAGTAGTTCGATTAAATTTTAGGTTCTCCAAATTATAAGCTGCGTTTATTTTGATATATCAATTTGGTTGCCTCTTATGTTTTGTGCAGATTGCAATCTGTGCAGTTTGCAATATGTGCAGTTTTTTGTGCAGTTTGCAATCTGTGCAGTTTGCAATCTGTGAATATGTACATTTTTTTTTTCTTTCAAACAACCAAAAAAAAAAAAAAAAAAAAGGACCCGTGGACCCGGCCCGAACCGGCCCGTTTCAACCGGGCCGGGTAATGTTCGGTTCTTATATTAAAAAATGTAATCCCCGGCCCGGCCCGTTCCCTTTGAACCTAGGTCCGGTCCGGTCCCTTCAAAATTGGGCCCGGCCCGTGCCCAGCCCTAGCCTCAGCCTCTAAACAGGGTATTGACAACTTTTCATTGTTTAACTTTTTCCTCCCTTAGATAGTTGCATATGTTTGATTTGTTAATCTGCTTCTTACGCATGTTGTTTCCTAATGGTGTAGGTGGGTTGCTGGATGCATGTGCAGATTACTCGAATAGACGAAGCTAAGAATGACTTGGTATTGAGTGAGAATGAAGCTTGGGTCAGTTGGATTTCGACATTTAATTTATTCATGTTTTTTGTTGCTTGCTATGTTCTCTCATTGTTTGTTCTGAGATTCTGTGATCTTAATTTTCATAAGAACTGACATTGGTTTGCCATATAATGTTTCAGGAACTGTTATACCTTTAAGGAGGGAACACTTTTAGAAGGAACTGTCAAGAAAATATTTCTATATGGAGCCCAAGTGAGGATATGAGAAACTAACAGGAGGTATAATGACTTTCAAACTTACGTGTGTAATTATCTCCATAAGTGTGGTTACAAGTTGAGCCTTTTCTTTGTTTTGTTTTTTGTTGAAGCTTTCCACGCCTTCTTTGTATTCTTTTTCCTGTTTGTTGACAAATAAGATCATGTTTATTTTTCTTCTAATTTTTTAGTGTGTGTGTGTGTGTGTGTGTATATATATATGTAGTTTTCTCTCCACCTGCCAGTATCATTCTGGCAGTTTCCTTCTGTCTGATAACTCTGATTTTATTTTTTTCCTGTTTGTGGTTTTTAGTCTTTGTCATTTAATTGGTGTAGCTTCGCTAGCATCTCTGTTCCGGCAGTGTGTGATTGGTGCTAATGGAATTTCAGCATTGTTTCTGAGCTATTATTTTCGTCGTTGTTCTGTGAGTTAGTGCTAATGGATTTGCTGTGTTTGCAGTTTTCAGAAACTTGGATCGTTGGATGGAGCACTTGGCCCTTTGGCTTTTGAGGTATATTTGTTTACGGTGGTTTCATGACTGTTGTTGCATTTTTTGTTTTGCTTACGTCAGGACTGGATTTGGCTATGTAATTGTGGCATCATTTGACTATGTATGACCATGATAACAGTGGAATGTATAATTGCTATGTCTTAAGTTGGTGTAATGTTAATGGTTTGCAGATGCTTAGGAGACCATCTATTGCCATCAATAAAATTGCCATCGATGAAATTGGGGAAGAAATTTCGAGAAATAATGTTAATGGTTTGTAGAATTATTATTAACAAGCTTTTGTTGCTCCCATTGTTTGTTAATTTTTATTAACAAGTTTTAAGGCACAGACCCATTGGTTATTGATGGTTATTGGCGCAAGGCCATTATTGTTTCACCGCTGGTGAGATTGTGTTGTTTCTTGAAGATTTTTTGGGTAAGGTTCATGCTGTGTGCATTTTTTTTTTTTTTTTTTTTTTGTATTTTTTGTGTTTCTTACAATCATAAAGTGGGTTGAGCTTGGTTCATGAAAAAAAAAAAAAAAACAACAAATTTATTGACTTTTGGACGTGTTTCGCTTAAAAACAGCAAGTTGTGATGTGTTTGCCGTTGTAAACATGATCGGGAACTTTGGCTTTCGATGTGTTTCGCATGATAAAAACGGAAAATATATTGAGCTTGAAAATAAGGGTTTAGGTTTCACTGTTTTTCCATGTATAGAATTTTACCCCTATTTTTGGTTTCTTTATGATTTCAATTATCTTTCAGTAACCTAATCCCTAAACTTATTAAATTCATTGACCATGTGGTTTTGGATTCAATCCTGAAGTTCCTATTTCTCGGATTGGTGTTGTGTGCTCCTTTCTGGTGGTCAGATTGGTAAATCATTGCATTTTACTAAAAGTATTTGACGTGCCTATGCGCCTTTCGTCTCTAAAATGTTTGAATATAGTCGTCTTGGGAGTCTTAGGGGAGTCTTAGTGTGATCGTTTTTCTATTTCTTAGATTCAAACTGTTTTTAATTTCTCATTTAATTGGTGTAGCTTTGCTCATTTAACTAGAATTTAATCAGATTTGGTCCTCAAATTTCTCTGAATTGCTAAAGGATTTATTTTCTTTGGAATTTTCAAAAAATCAGGTCGTGGGAGGAAGAAGCTGGTTCATAACTATTTGGTGTTTGAAGTCCAGTGGATTGGTATCCGTATCTTATAAATATGTTGGCCAAGACATATGTTAGCTTTCATTTTGTTTTTTCATTTTCGTTTCTTATATCTTGCTTTTGCTTTTGATGCATAGTTTGAAAGCTTCTGGATCATAATATGAATTCCGGTGTGTGTGAGTGTGTGCAATGTTTGTGCATTTCAAATTCTCAAGCGTGATGATATTGCCTAAGCATGTAGATTTTACACTGCTTTTGTGCCATGCAGTACCAACATTCTATGTGGCCTCTTAGCTAATGATACAATCAAATTATATGAACTTTAATTAGTTTTCATGTCACAGTTTCAATTTCTTTGCTTTGTTTGGAAATTTGTGCGTTTATCTTCGGAGCACTTAGTCGATTTAGCTTGCAGTTTAACTATTTAGGATTCTTAATGTATTTTGGTTTTACCTGGATTCCATTTCTGTGATTGCCACCCTTAGTCGATGGTATTATCTTTACAGTGGATTTAAATTGGGGATTTGGAGAATCTAATAACAAAACTGAATTATATGTTCCATGCTTTTCGTTTTCATTTTGGGTTAAAAAGTTGGAGCTTTGGATCAGGATTTTTCTTTATTGAACTATAATTTTGTGCTTAGGAGACTATCTGAAACTGCTTAAATTTGTTTGCATAGGAACTTTGTTTTTTATTTTCGCTGTAATCTGTTTTGTTAAAGGTGATGATAAAGATTTATCAATATTGTTTGTTTGGAGTTAGGTGGAAATTGGAAGGGAGTAAATTGTGATCGTTTATCCAGCATTTGATAAAATTGGGGAAATAATGTTAACGGTTTGTAGATGCTTAGGAGATTGTCTGGGGCTGCTTAAATTTTATATATTCAATTGCATAGAGTCGACCTGACATACACAACCATGATCAGATTGCCACCCTTAGTTCATGGTTTGTAGATGCTTAGGGGATTGAGAGGTCATGCTAAGGAGAGTATATTACTTGCCACTGAGGAATATACTTCATATAATAGCAATGTGATGATGTGTGGCATGCTTTAACTAAGGGATATTTTTGTGTAGTAAGAAAGCCATATAGAGTCACATTTTTGTTTTTGTTTTTTTTTTTTTTTTTTTGGATTTGGTAACTGAAATTTTATGTGTGAACTACATGTTTCTTCAGGAAACAGAACTTTTTTGGAAACCATCCATTTCTAATCAAAGACATTCAGTTTCTTCCTACTCATTGTACAATGTGTTTATATGCCAGCTCACTTGAATGCATATAAAAAAAAATTGTTTATCTTATCAATCTCATTCACTCATGTATCCCTCCGTTTGTTCATAATTGTGTTGAATTTATTGAACTTAAATGTGTTTCATTCATCCGATTATACGTGAAACAACAGGTTCCCGCAGCACCGCGGGAGCATATTTTCTCGTGTCCTCTAAAAAGGACATTAAATTGGAGAGTTCTTCAGAGTGCTTGCTTCCTATTTGGATGCTGGTCCTCCCGATTATCTCATAACATCTTATAAATAAATTGGAATTCTAGAAACCAATCATCTTATAAATAAATTGAAATTCTAGAAACCAATCTAAAATAATTATAATAATAATATCACACATCTCTTTTATTTTTAGTGTAGATTCTAAAAACCAATTTAAATTCATCTATTAATTCTTGACATCTCTTAGTGTAGATTATATCAACATAAATAAACACTATGATATCTCATCATCCCCCTTTGCTTTTAGTGTAAAATGTTGTTTCACTGGTACTCTTTTATCGATTATATAGTTTTGGCATTATTCAAACTTACATCAAAGTAATATTAGCAATTCATCTTACACCTTATGAGATGAAGACACTTGGCAAAAGAGTAGTATTATCATTATTTGTTTTTTTTTTATCAACCCAAAACTAGAAATTCGAGTAGATCTAATTTTCAGACAAGGATTGTCTGTTCTCCCACTTCTGATGTCCTTTTGTGCCCTCCTGTTTTGTGTAGTTACAGTTAAGCCACGTCAATATTTTATATTATTTTTTATAGAGATAATAAGACAAAAATAAACATTAATATAAAATGTTGATGTGGTTTAAACGTGACCACACAAACAAAAAAGCACTGAAAGACATCGAAAATGAGAGAACAGACAATCCTTGTTTCTAATTTTCACAGTTGCTCAAACATAAACAACAATACAATATACAGTAGTGTGTGGGCCCAGGAAGCGGGAGAGAGAACATTTGTTGGAAATCAATCCTCCAAAGACGAATGATTTGTTTTAGTTTATTATGCCACTGGACTAGGCCTTGTTTGGCAGCTCGGACTGTACTGACTATTTATGTCGGATAGGATAAATAGCCACCGGATAATACTGACTAAATTAATCAGGCGTTTGGTGTAGTATCGGACTAATAATTGTATTATTTATACTGTGTTTGATATTATACGAGGAATTCAAAATATTATTATTTTTAAGATAAAAATTGATGATTAATGGAAAAAAAGCACTTTGCAGAAATATTTATGGAATTCAAAATAAAGCACTTTGATGATTAATGGAATTCAAAATATTTATACTGTTGTTTCTTCACTTTGCACTGCAGAAAAAGAAGCAGTTTGCTTCTCCCATTCCCAAAGCAAAATGAAATGGAGACGGGCACTCTACAAAGACCATCAACGCCCTCAGATGTAGAAGCAGACCCTAAAGCCCGTTCGTGTCCTCTCTCTCATCGCGTCCTACACCGAAGCCTCTCACATCTCCACCTCTCTGTCATTTGAAGCATCACCGCCGATGTCAAACGGAAGCCAAAACGGGAATGCAGCAGCCATTGAAGTATTGGAACAACAACGTGCAGCAGCCGCGGCGAAGGGAAACGCAGAGAAGATAAAGATAATCTCGGTCACTGCTGCCATTGCTGCAGGACAGCCACAACCATTGAGTTTCGTCAGTCCATCGCGACTCTCCTCTTTCCTCCGCTTACGCAGTTCGCGGTGATCAGAGAAGGAGGAGGATGCGAAGTTGCAGGAGAGCAGAACAGAGGAGGAGCAGGAGGAGGAGGAGGAGGAGAAGTTGCAGGAGGGCGGAACAGAGAGAGGCGTGCTTCTACCCGACTAAATAATACCATGGTTTTGAGCGGTACAACTAAGCGGGTATCAGCCGGATAAAGGAAGTGGGGCCGGATTATTTAATCCGGTAGCTATTTAATCCAAACTAACACCAAACACGGTACTCCGTATTATTAGTACTATCCGGTGTCTTATACGGTGTGCCAAACAGGGCCTAGAATGATTGGGATACAATCAAATAAATTTAATAATATAGTTTGTGAGGATCAATGAATAAAGTAAAAATTGCAAATGGGTTTATAAAGTACGGATGAGGATCCCCTTGGATCCTCATTGTCTGATTGAAATGGATATTGGATTGAGGTTTTGAAATTTCCTCATTCCAAATGGATCCCAATTTATGACCTTCTTTATCCCCATAATAAAGGGTTTTAGCCTTAAATTTCCTCATTCCTCATTGTCTGATTATAACCGTTCAGAACTTGTGAAAAAATTAGTTATAATTTTGTTTAATTGATTGGAGACCAAAAATTTTTGATTTGAGATTTCGTCGGAATGGTATATTTATATGTTTACTAAAGTGGAATGGGAATGGAAAAAAAGGAATTGGATTCTTACTAAATTGATTATACAGTTTGATCATTTAATAAAACATAAGTGTTCAAAAGTCTTTACCTTCACACAGTTTTAAACTTGTACACACATATTTAAACTTTTACATATACCTTTATACTCTTTTTTTTTACACACCTTTAATCTTTGCCACATAATTTTATATCTTTGTTCACACTTTTAAACTTCTATACACATCTTGGACGTAAACTAAGGGGCACTTGCTTTTGTAGTTTTTCGTAACTATTTTTATAATTTATGGGCCATGATCTGTAACTGTGATGCACTCAATTTTTTTTAGGGAAAATTGCTCATCAAAGTGAGCAACTTTGTTATGTGTCAGCATTGGCAGAGTCAGGAATTTAAAGCGATAGGGTCAAAAAGTAGCTTTAAAAAATCGATAATACTTTTATTTATAATTGTCCACGATGTGTTCTCATATTTTGGAAATGTCATCTCACAACACCATTATCAATAGAATCAAATACATCTTTCTTAATGTACACAACCAAACTATCATTCAACTATTGATCTACCCATCCTATTACGATGTGGATTCTCCACAATTTTCATCACTGAAAAGCTCTTTCAACTAAAGCAATTGCAACAAGTAAAATCAATGCTAATTTCACAAACAAACACACTAAGGGATTCTGTCTATCCTTCTTTGTCTCCATCAACTTTTGTGCAAGACTACTAATTCTTTTCAATGCAGTAGCTTTGTTAAATTTAAAAAGTATTAATTAAAAATTATTTTTTATTTTCTTAAGGATAAGTTTAGAAGTAAAAGGTTATTGGGATAACTTAACAAAGTAGCATTGCAGCTATATGGGTTCATAAATTTTCTTAGGGATAACTTGACAAGGTTACTGGGGCCAAGGGATGCCAATGCCCCCGCATTGGCTCCGCTATGCGTGTGTCCGAGATTGCATGCATTTTTAAGGCAATGCAGCCAAGGATGCCTGCATAATTAAAGCAATCCCAGAGAAGAAAATAGTTAACAAAAAAAAAAAAAAACCTTAATTAAGACTTGAGGGCTAAAAGTTAACGATATAGTGGGAGCTGATGCACTGTGAAACGCGAAACACGTTTGGATGATTTGTTAACTATTTGAGGGGTTCAGGATAATTCATCAACGTGAAACACGTTTGGATGATTTGTTAACTATTTGAGGGGTTCAGGGTAACCCACCAACGTGGCAAATGAAGCAAAGGTGTTGATCACGTTGGAGTAGCTAGCTGTCA